TCAGGGGTCAAATAGTCTTCAAGTGGCAAGACTGGGACCCAGGCCCAAATGTATTGAGCTCCAAAAGCCCATGCTATTTTTACCGCACTGCAATGGGTAAAGGGCACATTTGACGACTTCACGAGTTAGCCTACCTGTTACTCTTGTAGGCAGTCAGTTACTAAATTCCAAATGCTTATGTAATGACAGCATTTCTCCCTGAACCAATTTTCTTCAAATGGTATTTCCTCCTTCTATAAACAGACCTAACACATCCCTGACTCACATTTGAACAAGTCATTTCGCATTTTGAATTTTCTTTCCCCTGCAGTTGCTCAATAGCAATTCCACAGACCCAGGGCCAGGTTCCAGCTCAGTGGAGGATGTGTGAATACCATAGGCTAAGAAAATAGCATGAGACCAACTGAGAGCAGCCCCCAAAGTGCTATCTTATGGAGCTGTTTCCCAGCAGGCTGTGGATTAAGATATAAATGAAACATATGGACATGGGGAAAAGCATATGTCAGGCCTGCTGTGGCCCATGTTCCTGTCAAGTGCATATGCACCAGGTCATTTTAAATCATGAAAACATTGCCAAGCAGGCTTCCTAAATATTTCTACAGAACTAAAATTGAAATCAGAGCTTTATTTCTCACACCTTCCTTCTGAAGTCAGCCTCATCCACAGTTTCCCAGTGTACACACATCCAGAAGGTACCACAATTTGGCATACATACTCCTCCTCTCAGAAAGAGAACTGGTTAGTTACAGAAGACTGAATAGTTCCCTCTGGGTATGTTTCAGTTGACTCAATTATTCCCAGGCATAACTATCAATATTATCAGCAACAGCAAGAATTAATTGAACATAAACCTTCTACGGAACACTGTGCAGAGTTCTGAGGGTAACACATAAGAATTTACCATCTAAAAAATACAGTTTTATTTTTTAATTCATTTTTTTAATATATCTTTATTGATTTCAGAGAGGAAGGGAGAGGGAGAGAGAGAGATAGAAACATCAATGATTAGAGAGTCATCATTGATCAGCTGCCTCCTGCACGCCCCCGACTGGGGATCGAGCCCACAACCCAGGCAAGTGCCCTGACTGGGAATCGAACCAACCTTGATCTCCTGGGTCCTAGGTTGATGCTCAACTGCTGAGCCACGCCCGGCCAGGCCAAACAATTTTAAAAGCCTGGTTTTAGGAGTCATTTCTTCCATGAAGCCTCTCAGACTATGATAGCGCTTGGCCATCTCCCCTATTCCCACCTCCACTCCCAGATTTAAATAGCAATTAGATTTGCCACTCTTATCCCGTGGCATAGGCTGCCAGTCAATGTTTATAGAGATCTTTTCTGCCCTGGTGCCTCATACCTCTGGAAAGCTCCAGAACTCTGGAGTCAGGTTCTTCTGAATTTGGATTATGCCTCTGAGAGGTGGGGGAGAGTAAAGATCAAGAGGTATTTGTGAGTCAAAGTGTTTGCCTGTTTTGCTGATGCACAAAAAGGATTCCTGGGAAGAAGTAGAGTGAAATGGGGTTGGAGCAGCAGGTAGGGGCCAACTCATGGAACCCTTCACAAAAGTAGCTGCTGGTAAACATTTTTTAAGTGCGCCTTTCCCAGCTTAGTGGGATCTCTGTCTATTTCCCTTCCATCTCTGTTTCAGTTTCTTTTGGAGGATATAGGTCAAATTCCAGCTGGATTACATAATGGTTCCTAGCACTGGATCAGCAATTCTTCCTTTTTTTTTTTTTTTTTTTTT